TTCCATCACAACAAATATATACCAAATTTATATGACTACATTTAGCAATATTTCACAATTTACTTAACATATTTCTTTTCAGTGATCATTTCAATCATTGGAAAATTTTGCTATTAAAAATATTACATTATACATACTAGTATAGTATTTCTGTACATTTTGTATTCTTGAATGAACTTTTAAAAGACAGTGAGTTGTTGAGTGAAATTGTTATCTTTCTAAGACTTTTGCTATATCTTCCTCTAGAAAATTATCAATTCATGGTGATTAATAGAAGGCTGTATGTGACTGCTCATTTCAGCATACATCAACAGATATTAGATACTCCTGTTCTCTAAAATTTTACGGAAGTTAAATTTAAGAAATCTATCCCACTATTACTTTAAATTGCACTTATTTGATCATTAGTGAGATTGAATATACTGTGTATATTGAATATGCATATGCATTATTGGCCATGTATGTTTTTGATTCATGACTTGCCTATTTGAATTCTAGGGAAGAGTATACACATTATTGTAGGTATATGAAATATCTTCATATAAATCATTTCATAAGCATTCTCTATTCTTGTGGTTCTATGAATTGAACCCAGGACTTTTACACTAAGCTATATCCCTAGCCTTTACTTTTTATTTGAGACAGGGTGTTTTTCAATCACTAAGTTCTCCAGCCTGGGCTCAAATTTGTGATCCTCCTGCTTCAGCTTCCCAGGGTGCTGGGATAAAAAAAGGAGTGCACTGCCCTGCACGGCCTGCTATAAGTATATATATGAAGGTTTACATTCATGTAGAATATACATAAGGTTTACATTCGTGTAGAATAAAAGCCATTCACACATTACTTTGGGGTCTAATGCTTTTAAAGCCTTGTTATACTCAAGACTATCTAGCTGTTATTCAATGTTTATTCTAAAATTCTCACAATTCATTTATTCATTTTGGATGTCAAATCAATCTGTATCATATTTTGATATTTCATGAAACAGAAACTTATTTTTTCCAAATGTTTACTTTGTGTGATTATTTAACTCTTCTATGAAGACTTCTAACACCTAATATATATATATAA